GGGGGGGGCGGTTGGGAAGGCAGGGGAGAGGGAGGAGGCATTGGCGTAGCCAGGATTGTGCTTATCTTTCTGCTCGAAAATGTTGTTGTCGCTGTGCAAAACAACTCTAGTGTTGTAAAGTTTGACGATGGTTTGCGTCTAAAGTACTTGTTTTACCATCTCCCTCAGCAGTGTCGCACGCCTCTGGCATCCCACACCCGGCCAGCGCCACCACCGCCGCCTCACTGCGGTATTCAAAACATTTTCAAAACATTTTCTTTTCATCACGCCGTATTCTCTGTCGCAGCCGCCGTGGCGTTCAGCGTGGCCGTGCTGGTGTGCTCCTCGTGCGGCCTGCTCAGCACCTGGCTGCTCCTCATCGGGCTCCGGCTGGTGAGTATCCTCTGCATGCAAAAGCCATGCCAACCCGGATGAAAGGATCTGCACACGCACACGCCACCATACAGCTGTAAATAACTCTCTAGTTTTGGCCACGCAAGTTTGAAATGTTTGTAAAACTACTTTTTAATCGTACGTACCCGTGTTGTGATACATGGTGGCTTCACCTCATCCAGTCGTAACGTACTCAAATTAGAAAAACAAGGTTAATATCATTTCAAGGTAAATAATTTACATGAATCTGCTTTTCCTTGCCCGTGAAAAAACGGCTTTTCACTTTATTTTTAGATGCAATTTCGGCCCTTATTTTGCAGATCTTTTCTTTTTCCGTCCACGGAGTGTGAGCGCTTACAATCATTATTTCTTCTCCGTAGTCACCCCGTCGACTTCACCACCAAATATCCCCCGGGCGAGCCAAAGTGTTTTTTTCCTACTCTCTCCCGGTTCTTTTTTTTACCCCTTCAATGGAGGTGAGATCTGCTGTTGGCGGTGTCTGGCTGGCGATTTGCCACAGTGCTGAGGCCCAACTGCGTCCCGAGCAGACCCTGATATGTGGTAAAAGGGGAAGGGGAAGCGAGGGGCGAGAAAATGGCGGGGAAGTAGTAGGAGGCGGCTCGGCTACATGCTACATTACGGCGAAGATGATAGTTCTCGTGGCCGGGGACAGGGATCGGCTTTAGTATCGATAACTGTGACGGGCTTTTACACTACACTGTAAATGTCTACGCGGACAGCCATTGTAACTATCACCAGACTTATGAGTGCCCAAACTTAATTCAGACACAATATTGTTACTGTAAAAAAAAAAACGTTTAGTAACTTTGCAATTTACAATGCGTTATTGAAGCGTCTTCAGTCTATCGTCTATAAATTATTTTATATGTAACTGCAAGTTTGCCTTTCCGTTAAAAGCAAAAACAAAAGAAAAACCAAATACATTGTAATGGCATAAACCGTAATGAGATTCATGGAAACAAATTCAAATTCCTCGCACGACGCGTCCGACCTGCCCTCTCACCGTAACGACTACATTGGCAAGGACATACAGTTGTACATACAGAAACGTGTCTAACATTACGTGAGCAAGTATGGCCAACTTGGCACAAACCTTGTGTGCGTCGTGGAGTGTGGGGTGTCGAGCCGAGATGGGCCGCTGTCAGCACCATATAGAACTGGGACGGGAGAGAGAAATAGAAGAGAAGAGATGAGAAGAGAAGAGAAGTGAAGAGAGAAGAGAAGAGAAGAGAAGAGAAGAAAGGAGAAGAGAAGAGAGATGGGGGCGGGGGGGGGGGGGGGGGAAGAGACGAAGCACGCTGAGGGAGAAGTGCGTCTCATCACTTGCACTGACAAAACTCGTTGTGTAGCTCCTGTGCTAGGGGAGAGAGAAGGGAGAGGGGAGGGAGGGGGTCTGAAAGCCGGAGCTCACATGTCCCGGCACCGCCAAGGACAGAGCGAGCGGGACACTCGCGAAGCTATATCCACGGATACAGTATTATTCATGAAGAAAAGACGGCGCGGTATATTTTGAGAAATAATTCAACATTATTCAAATTTGCGATTGCGAAAAAATAGGGGGAAGAAATGAAAAGAAGTAAAGTGAACGGTGAGAGGAAAGGGCGCAATAGAGAGGATCCCATCTCCACTAACGGCTTTGCGCTGTGACTAATGCTGCGGCAAACTGCTGGGATGGTAATCGTGGCGTGGCGTGGCGTGGCGTGGCGGGGCGTGGCGGGGCGGGGCGTGGCGCTCAGGGTGAGAGGGGCACTCGATCGGCCAAAAAACGCTTTCTGCCGCTGCCGCTCCCTCCTAGCTGCCCGCTGGACCGGACTCCGCGCGACCCGCTCCAAGCATCGCGCGCCCCGATCCGGTAATGGCTCAACTTTTCATTGGGCGCGCGCTGCTCCCGCTCGGCCCTCGCCCCGCCCCGCCCCGCCCCCGCCACGCCCCATCGGGAACTCTCTATTTACGGACAAGTTTGGTAAAAGAACCATTAGGTAGAAAGCGTTTGTATGCGTTGGGCAGGGCGCGCCCAGCTCTGACGGTAATCAGGTGGCCACGCCACGCCGCGCCACGGTTGACGTAATATCTAGGGCAGGAGAGCGGCGCTCGCGCCCCCTTTGTATGCACCTAATCATTATTTTCACGACTGATTTGTTCCTTTTCACGGGGGCAGGGCAGACAGACGGAGAGAGAGAGAGAGCGAGGGCGAGGCAGCAGAGAGCGCCGGTGGTGGTGGCCCCGACAAAAATAAAAAAGAGAGAGAGAGAGTGAAATAAAATCGAAATGAAATAAAGTGAGACAGGTGACTGGGTCGCCGTGGCTGCGCGACATCGGCGAATGAGATTGGAGGAGCGTGGGTAACGCAATCATGGCAATAAGGAAGAGTGAGAGGGGAGAAGGGTGAAGGAAACAGAATGAGAGGGGGGAGCCTTGACACGACGGAGAGGAAAAAAGTGACTAGGAGAATAAAGAGGTTTCCAGACATTTTATTTTTAAAAAAAATGTCGTCGTCGGTTCACTTCAGCTGGTCCAAGTAGACCATCATTAAGCAGTGTAAACTGATTGACAACAAAAACAAGCACACGGGAACACTGGTAAACGATAATTACGTCACCGGCATATTTTTCGTCCTTTTCGACAACTCGCCACGTTTTGCAGTGTACCAAAGCTGCTGCTCTGCCCCATTCCCCTTCGACGCTGTCCGCGGCGGCGGCGGTCTGCGCGCGGCGGCGGTGACCGAAAAATTTAGTGCGCGATTGTGGAGCGCACACGCTGCCCTCGTATCTCTGGGCCGGGGGTTTAATTACCTGTCCGCACACTGGTGGCCCACCCCGCCCCGCCCCGCCCGCGCACCC